AAGGCCAAGGAGGGACCCCGTGGAGAGCCACGACTGGGAGATGATGCTGTGTCACTGAGCGTCCAGTCCCGGAACACAGAGGACCACGGTGAGGGTGCTGCTGGGACAGGTTGTGTGTACGAGGCAGAGACTCAGGGGAAACCTCTGAACCCTCTCCTTCACATTTTGTGAACATAAACCTTCAGCATAAGTAAAATCTGCTGAACAGAAATAGCCAAGGCATTCTGGGAGACAGTCTCGCCACTTTTCACAAGTTAAACAGAACATTGCCATAAGGTAGAAGAACTTCGTTTTTAGTTACTTCTCCAATTGCTTGGAAATATATGTCTGCACAAAAATTTCTCTGAGTCTTATAGTTTGCATATAGGCTGTCTGTGGTATGGATGTTTCCCTATAAAATTACAGTGCGTACACATTTGTATCATTCCTATCCTTAGTTACTTCACTCCAGTCTTTAGCTCTCAATCCGAAGGCAGCTGCTGCTCCCTCAGGATTTCTGACAGACTGAGGATGTGGTCACCACACTGTGTGTCGCACAGTAATACCGCTCAGCTCCATGTAGGCTGTGCTGGAGGAGGTGTCTGCAGTGAGGCTGACCCTGTCCTGGAACTTCTGAGCATATTCAGTATTTCCATCCTCTGGATCAATTCCAGCGATCCACTCCAGACCCTGTCCAGGGCCCTGTCACACCCAGTGCATGTAGTAGTCTGTGAAGGCATAGCCAGAAGCCTTGCAGGAGATCTTCACAGACTCCTTGGGCCTCTTCACCTCAGCCCCAGACTGCACCAACTGCACCTGGCCATGGGCACCTGTGGAGACAAGACAGGAGTTGGATGCAGGACCCCTGACAGGCTCTGGTCCATTCTGTAGCCCTAGGACTGGGTGTCACCTTACTTTTCGCAGCTGCCACCAAGCAGAGGATTCTCCAGGTCCAGTCCATGGTGAGTAGCTGTGCTCTGTTGGATTCTTCAGAAGAGGGTGATGGCTGTGGAATTCTCTGGGGCACAGATATATCCATATTTACCTCAGCAGATGCTGGTTATTTGCATATTCATGAGGCAGAAAACTTCTTAGCTCCAGACCTGATCCAGCCTGAGAAAGAGGCCATTCAGCAGTGTGGTCCTGGTGTCCATATCCTTATCCTGTCTGAGGAGATACAACTTCTCTCACTTCCTTACAAATTTGTGCATATCGGCCTCAACTTATTGAGCATCAAGGCACCTCAAGAGAGCTCTGCTCTCTCAATCCGCCTGTGAATGGCCTATAAACCACCTAAACCTTTCCTTGGCTATCAGTGTTCCTGATGCTAAGCAGCTGTATTGATCAGGGCCTGCTTCTATCAGGTATCAACATAGCTCACTGTTGTCTCAAAGAGATGGACACTATTCATCCCACATGAGAACTCAGAATGGTGCATGAGCCGCCAGGCCTCCTAGAATGGTATCTGCAGGAGCTCCCTGGATTGATTGTGCCCCATCTTCTCCACAGGAAGACCCTTGGTCTTCAGATAAGCCCTATGATGCGTGCTCTGGGGATGTGTTTATGATCCCCTGAAGGATGGGACTTGAATGTGAGTCTCATAACTCAGTTTCCAAAATCTTGCCTAAGAATTGGTGTTAATTTTCTTGTGGACTCATTCACAATGGAACAAAACAGAATTTTAGAGTTTTCATAGATATTATATTGACATCACTCTTCTGCATCTTTACCCACTTATTGGTGCACAGGGTCCATTCACCCATCCCACGCTCTGAGCCTCCAAAACACGGCCATACACTCAGTCCTGGTGCTAACACCTACACCTGAGAGTGAAGATCATGCTTCTATGATCTAAGTGTCTCCCAACATGGTGTGCCATTTCAGGTTAGAATAGTCCATTCTGCGTTCCATACACTTACTAATGAGATACTCAAAGCAGTAGAAACCTGACTTTTGCGGCCCATCTTGTATGACAGAGTTTTATTTGTGTTATAGACTATTTTTACGCCTAAAGTTCATCATACAATGAAGGGTGTTTCCTCTGTATTTATGACAGTTTTTTTCCAAGAAGAATAAAGTTGTGGAAAAGTCCTCAGAATGTCTGACTGGAGAAGGCTCTGGGTTCATTTCTCAGTGCTCAATCTTCTCCCCTCATCTGAGAGGCCCAAGGCGTCTACTTGGAGCCTCACCTTGAGAGTCTCAGGAATCTGGGGGTCTCACGTGATGTTTGAATCCAGGAGCTCTCATTGTCAACTCCAGCCACCCATCAAATCCCCACTAGTGTTCCCTCCAGTGTGGACCCCGAACTCCATCTCAGCCAGGAAGAATGGTTCATCTGTGATTATGGACGTTCCTGGCCCTCCAGGTTTCTTCATGTTTGTTCAATCGACAATTTGATTTCTTTCATGAGCCCATGAAAAAATAAAAATGTTTATTTACTCCAGATTTTTGTAGAATTGCACATGCATGTGATAATTTTCTATGTATTCACATATTTCAGTAAAATCCAGAAGTGCTGTTAGCAGCCAAATATGTGCTCTTTCTTGAGTTCGAGCCCAAGATTACTAATTGAAAATGACATTTAGATGATTACGAATGAATCCACAAAGACACAGAAAAAGGAAATGAAAGATATCCTATCAGGGAAGAGGCATGGCCCCGGCCTGAGCTCCAGCTGGGACCCTGCACTGCTGGGGCCTAGACCTCAAATGTCAAAGAGCAGAAGGGATATCATTCTGAGCCCAGGAAGATAGCTGGGTGGTGAGCATCCGAGAGACAGCCTCTCAGGCTCATGAGAATCAAAGCCCCCCGAGTGTGTGAAGAGAATCCCTCCAATAAAGAGTCAGTTGTTGGCAGTAGCTGGCATTCCTGATATATTTAGATATCTTTTTGGGTTTTGGATTTTCATTTCCCTACTAACTACTGCAAGAAAATCTGTTAAAGTGTGGCTTCATGATACATCTACATCTTGGAAACAAAAAAAACAGCAATCTGCACTCTGACTACTCTCTGCTTTGGTGCATAGATAGCCCTTGACTGCAGTGGGTCTGAGTGTATGGTCCCGACTGTGGACATCAGTATTACTTGAGAACCTGTTAGTTCAAAGTTTCTGAGTCAGAAACTCTGGACATGGGACCAAGAGTCACCTGCAGATAGTTCTGATCCTCCTGAAATGTAAGATCTTTGGCATTTTTTTGACATTTATTAAATGTTTTATTTAAAGTTCTTTACATGAAAAAGAAGGTACACAAATACAGAATACATTGTGATGACCAAGGCAGTACTCTACATGACAAAAATCAAAACAACACAAATTTATGAAGTAAATGTACTGGAACTGAACAAGATACTTGAAATTTAATCCAGGGTGCATATGCATACAATGATCTGACTACAGGCACGTGCAAAATAAATTATTTCCTTGAGCACTGAAATGCCAACCATTCTGTCCATAAATTGCCTACTTCCGCTGGTGAACATATTGAGAGACCTTCCATACAACAGGAAAAGAACTGGCATGACACTTAAAGACTGCAAAAAGAATCAAAACATATTTTAATGCAATTCTGCATAAAATATACACAATCTTACTACTTAAAAATTAAAAAAAAGAGCACCCTGACTAAAGTTGAAATCCTCATAAAAGCAAAGTGCTTATCTTTTGTATATCTTTCCTAGAAAACTGGTGAGATTTTGTTGAGGGGAACAAGGAAGATATCTAATGAAGTCATTCATTTCAAATTTGTTCAAAAGATTCATAAAGTTGTAAATTGCTGCTTTTACCATCTTAAAATATTATAACATGAATATACTTTCTATTTACCTGGAGAACAAAAAGTAACTTGAGGAAAGTGTTTCTCAAAATGAGGTCCAACAGCCCTGAAGAGGTCTAATGTGGACTAAGTAATAAACATGTCTTAGAAAACTCTCTCTGTAATTATTCTGTGGTCTGAGATGCCCTAGAGCAGAGGGCAGTGCTGAAATGCAAGATAATAAACGTCTTTCTGACATGTTAGAATTCTCTATAATTTTATGTTGTGAATACTGCTTTTTGTTTTCAAACCAGTTCCAGGCATTTAGAGAAACATACATGCCTCAGAAATGAACATGTGAATGTCTATAAACAGTTTCCTTTATGTTTTCATTACTTTCAAGCTTAAAAATTGAAAGAAAAGACAATATATGTCTAAAAGCTTTGGAAAAGTTACATTTCTAATGAAAAGGGGCACTTCAAAAAAGAAAAGAATCTTTATTAAATGCCTACAAATTTTAAATCGTTCTAAGTTTAAAACTAGGTAGTTCACCTAAAATTAAATTTTACTAAGAATGTATCATTGTAGCTTATTTAGACAATGATGGTTACATTTCAGGTCCTTTGCCTAAAAATAGTACTAAGACAGGAATATTATATCTGGCAACTTTAAATAATGAATTGCTAAACAGAAATGTCAATAAAAATATTTTGAAGAATTTTGCCCCTGAAATGAAATCTACTATGTATTTCATGTGTTATCCTACTAAATAAAAACAAACTTAAGTAAGGAGACAGAATTATAATAAATGTATTTTATAAGGATAAATTAAAAATGAGTATCATTTTTTAGATTCCCTGAAGGCTACATAAACAGGGGTCCAAGAAGTATAGGTAATATGGTTTGAGATTAACAACATAGGTAAGACATTCTACTAAAAAGACAAATTATTTTCCCTTATAGTGAAAAACTAGAAAAAGTATTACATGGTCTCCATTCAACAAATGGAATGTGTTTCCAAGTTTGTTTAAGAAGAAATTGCCTCATTGTTATTCAAGTCAAATCCTAAAAAGCAACTCTTATCAACAAAAAAATTCAACCTTCCCTATTATGGACTATAGCAAGCCAGTATTACACTGAAATATAACTCTACCTAATAAAAGCAGCTTCTAGACATCTATAAAATGGTTAATTGAACTCAGGCTGCTAACAAGTTTTTTCATGCATTAAATAGCAACATAAGCAGAATACATAGCTGAAAAATGAGAGTCAGACCCATTCTTCTTCATACATCGTAGGACGATTAATATACTCAAAACCTGCAAATTCACATCCATCAGTCTTCCTCACGATGTCATTATCATCTGGGGTGAGCTGGACAGGTTCATCAGCAAATTGAGGATCAAAATTGTCCAAACCAATTCCCCCAGACATATTTGGTTTAAAGGGAGGCACCACCTGCTTTCGCTCCATCATCTCCCAGTTAAGGTTTTGAAAAAATGGATGTCCCTGGACATCAGCAAATCCCCTTTGAGGACAGCAACCCACTCGTTCCACTGGGTCCCTGTTCAGAAAACTCTTCAGAACAGTTGCAGCTTTTATGGACAAATAAGGAGGTAAGTGAATGGTTCTTTCCAAAATAACTTCCAGGAGATTCTTGTTTGCATTTTGGTCAGGGTTGTCAGAGCTCTTCACAAAACGGAATGGAGACTCCCCAACCATCATCTCATACAACAGCACTCCAAGAGTCCACCAGTCCAAACTGAAGCCACACTCTTCCCCTCTTATAATTTCTGGAGCCAGGTAATTAGGAGCACCACAGCAAATGCTGGTCGTGTCTCCTGGCTCTAAGCCTTGCTTACACATGCAGTAATCAACGAGTTCAATGTGCCCTTAAGAGTCGAGTAATAAATTGTCCAGTTTCAAATTTCTGTACAGTATCCCTCGCTGATGGAGATAGTTGAATGCTAAACTGATTTCTGCAGAGTAAAACCTGGCATGTTCTTCAGGAAGTATTCTTTGTTGCTGCCTATGAAACATCAGATCTCCACCATTTACATAGTCTAGAAGAAAGAACAGTCTGCTTTCTGTCTGGAAGCAGGAATGCAGTCCAACTAGAAATGGACAATGAGATGCCTGCTGTAAAATGTGCTTCTCTGTCCATACCCGATCAGTGTGGATGAGCTCTTTTTTCACTGCTTTCATCGCATAAGTAGGATCTTATTTTTTCAGCTGAACCAACAGTACTTTCCCATAAGTTCCTCTGCCAATCACGGTGAGCAAGTCAAAGTCCTGAAGACTTAAACCAGGTGAAATTTTTCCACTTTCTCCAGTGTTCCCTGCCTCATTCTCTTCATCAAGTTGTTCTAAACCCTCATGACTTGAAAGATTCTGTGGGATCGCTGTCTGTGCAGGGTGGGAAGCCATGGTTGATGGAGCCCCTAGCACCATGGGCTCTGATGCTAGAGAACGCTGCCCACATTGAACTGTGACCAGTCGGTGGCACTTCTTGTGCACCGAGAGTTTACAGCGGGTGCACTTATATACCTGGCGGCCAAGGCCCCCTACACGGTCTGTGCAGACAGCGCACTTAGCTCGCCTGGGGAAGCCTTTGGCTTGAAAAGCGTGGCCATTTGCATAATGCAGCTTTCTCCAGTGGCCTGCGTCTCCGTGGCGGATGGACGTATCCTCTGCTGGACAAAGCACTTTAGGATATTCTGCTATACAAGGTGATGCATTACCTAGGAGCTCACAATCTTTCTTTAACTCAGAGAGCATCAAGGCCTCTTCTAACTCTAACGGAGGTGACACAGTGTATGGGACTCCTTCTTCCGCTACCCAATGTGTGGTGAAAGCTGTTTATTGTCCAAACACCACACATCTTGACCTTTATCACAAAAGCCCTCAAAGGAGCTGGAATTCTCAAAAGATGCTGTCGTAATGTCTCTTCCCAAGCTCAGGACCGATGGGGTAGAGGTGTGGGTGGTGGAGGTGCCCGGGAAAAAGGGGCCATAGACGGGTTGGCTGCCCAGAAAAATGTGCAGGAAAGGCTTGGTGAATGAGTGTGGCCTGCTCCCAGCACGGACCAGAGGGGCCGGAATTCTGCAAAGCTCTCTCTCTGTGATGTTGTTTCCAGTAGCGGAGGCCAGGCCTGGGTCGATGTACACCAGGATTCTGTGCGTCTCTCCGGGGCTGGTGTCTATGACTTCAGTCTCCTCCCCTGGACCTTGACTCTCTAAGTTTTCTGTGCCTAGCTCTGGGGAGACCTGCCCAGAGCGACTGGGTGTTTCTGGGCGTGGTGATTCTTGCCCTGAGCTCTTCACAGCTTCTATGCCAGTGGTATTTGGGCGTAGGAAGACTTCAGCGGGGCACCTTGACTTTGGTAGCTCACTGGTGGTCACTCCCGGGGAGACCTTCCCTGGGGTGTCTGTGACACTTACAGTTGTGTCGCTGCTGCAGTGTGGCCTGCGGCATCTGGATGGTGTCAGCCGTCTTTTCAGTCTTTCACAGACACTTTCTCTGCCTGGGGTCCTGAGGCTGCGGCCTCGCAAAGTGGAGAAGCAGCTCAGCATGCTCGCTGTTGCTCCTCTCCGGCCAAATGAGCTTGGACGACGGCTGCGATTGGATTGTGATGCCCATTAGCAAGGGTTCCACGTTCTGTTTGGAGATGTTGCCAAGGAAGTGAGGTCCTGTCTTGGGGTTCCACAACTGCAGTCTCCACTTTAATAAGAAAACCCTATGGCCTATCTTTTTCATCATACTAAGTAAATCAGTGGCTCTTAACTTAGTATATTATTTTTATGTAACAATTTTTTAAGTTTCTTATCTGTATGATCTGTCTGTTCACTTTGTACTTTCGAATTACTAGGACTTGTACCCTTTGACTTCACACAAACTACAGGTGTATCCTGAGGGTTTTCTTTTTTCAGATAGGCACTACAGGATTTCATAAGTCACAGAATTCATAACACTGGATTCCACGTTATCATCGTCTTGCCTCAGCCACCCAGAGTGCTGGTATGACAGTCACACACCATCCTGCCCGATTCAGTGTGCTGTTTTGAAACAGCAAAACTAGGAAGACTTTGTGTGATATCAGGCATTGGTGATATTTTCAGTTTTAAAACATGTGCATTGACGCTTTGCATGTGGTGGGCACAGTATCAAGGGGTCTTTAAAATATAAACCTGGCAGTGCTGAGGATTTACACTTAGAGAACTGAAATTTAGGATGTTTTTCTTCCATTGATTGATTGTTTCATCACTTCCATTTTATTAGGTAGAGTGAGACTTTCTAGAAATTTCCACAATAATTTTCCTTAAGAGATACGATTCTTATGGGGAGGGGAGGAGGGGGGGAAGGGAGGGCAGGGACAAGGGGAAAAAAAGGAGAACCAGACCTGTCATTTAAAGTTCCAGGATCCCCATAATGAATGTAACTGTACTTTATGCCTAAAATGTACCAATAAACTCAATAAAAAAAGAAAATGGAAATGGAAGGAAATTAATGAGAAGATTTAGAGATTTCAGAGATCTTGAGGAAGGAGGATTCCAGGAGGTCTGAGTGAAGATCTGGCCTCAGGTCCAGTGATGCATATTCTGGAAGATGGGCTCATGTGAGCTAGAAAGAACAGGGGCATCATTTCATACAGGACACAGCAGTCGTGATTGGGCTCCAGGTGTGGAGCAGAGCTGTCTGAGGAGGGGGAAATGCATTTGATTCCCAGGATGAGCGTTGATGAAGCCATGGTAACCCCTGCAGTGTAGAGGTCTATGTGTGAAGACTTCTCCTCAGCTCTGACTTCAGGAACTGTAACTCTGTGGGGGCTGAGTGTCCTTCTGCTCACTGTACACACACTTTACAGAAATCCATAAACACATGAATGACATTATGAACTACATTGTTATGTGTGATCATTTAAAGGAAGCTTAGGAATAGAAACCTTTCTGATATATACAGAAATAACTGAAATAAAGCAAAGAAAATATATAAAGGCAAAATTACAAGAATCTGTTAAGGAATAACGATTATTGTGAAACAGGAGTATTTTATCTTAAGAGTGCTGTATTAGTGATACATAGATGGAAAGATGGGACGGAGAGAATGAGGAATTAGGAGAAAGCAGAGGAGGAGAGAGAACAAAAAATCGAAATAGAATCTTATAACTGAAATAAAGCAAAGAAAATATATAAAGGCAAAATTACAAGAATCTGTTAAGGAATAACGATTATTGTGAAACAGGAGTATTTTATCTTAAGAGTGCTGTATTAGTGATACATAGATGGAAAGATGGGACGGAGAGAATGAGGAATTAGGAGAAAGCAGAGGAGGAGAGAGAACAAAAAATCGAAATAGAATCTTACAATTCTCTTTTTATACATCCCATAAAGAAAGTGCAGTTCCTACTCATGTTCAGAAAATATGGACAGAAAGCATTCACTGGAGTCTTTGACCCAGCCCTGAGTCGAGTAAGGCTGCCTCTGTGTCCTACTGCCCTGAACACAGTGGTCCACATGGTGCTGGTGCTGATCCTGGGACAAGGCCTCCTGAACTGGCTATGTAAGAGAGAGCTGTGTGTCCTCAGGCCCTGTGGAGAGGGATGTGAAGGATTTATTTCCGTAATCTGAAGCATTTATTTCTGCATGAGACACCTCCTTGTCATGGGGATGAAATTATCAGATTCATTTTTAGGTGACGAAGATTCGGCATTCAAAAGAAATCTAAACTTGAAAATTGCAAGAAACTTTGAAGTGCATACAAGTCATATTTACTTATTTACCAAAATCCAAGATTAGGAGATGAAGAAAGCAATTATGTAATTATGTACTTGTGCTATTAAATTTAAAAGAAAATCTTTTCTTGGAACTTGGTTAGTTCCTAAGTCGTCTGTAGCGTATATGGTGCAGGGTCTCCTCAGATGATGATAAGACTGAAAGGAAGCCACAGGGGCTGACAGGAAGCCCTCACTCAGCATCCTTCTCTGCACCTGCTCCTGGGACCTTTCCTGGTGCTCAGTGGATCATTCGCGCCCCCTGCTGGTTGCATCTGCCCTGAAGGGAGGTCTATGTCTGGCCTGCATTGAAGTCCTCTCCCTGATTCTATTGCACAGTCATACAAAAGCTTGTCCTCGCATTTCAGACTGATAACTTGTAGAGACTGCATGTTCTGAGGCTTGTCTCTGGAGATGCTCAATTGGCCTTTCATGGAGTCTATTTTTAAATTTTTCAGGGCTTCTTTCTATTAGTACAGTTTGCAGCATTCAGTGGTAACTTTCATGGTGAGGAGTCAGTACACAAATATAACCAATTCAATTCTTCTGTACCCACCTCTCTTCCTTTCCCTCTCCCCTTTCCTCCATTTCTTTCTCCTTTTCTCTTTTACAAAATATGATCCAATTTCCTATAGTTTTATTGTTATTTAATTTTGTTTCTCAGGCAAGAGAAGTGATGTGATATGTAAGTGTTTGTGTCTGATTTATTTCACATATATAATGGAATAGTTTTGTAGCTATTCCTTGGACAGAGGACTAATATCAATAGTATATGAAGAACACAAAAAGTTTTCAAGAGTAACAAATCCACAAAGACTGAGACAGATTTGTCTTCACTTAGAGCAGGAGAAACAGAGGGAAATGGAAGAAGAAAAGGAGATGGCTAAAAATGTATGGTGTTCCTTTGGCAATTTAGGAAAATGACTTAAAAAGACATTGTACTGATGATTGTAGTTGTTTTACGAGGAAATGTACTGATCAATAATGGACATTTTACTTTAAATTGATGAGATTGTTGACACCTGAAGTAGTAAAATAAATTCAATGAAAAGATTTCCTCCAGGTTTAGTTACAAAATGTTAAAAACATTACAAATGTTATCTAAAATATTATATATAAATCTTACCGTGCATGAAGAAGACCTAATGAAAAAGACATAGGGCCCATTATGGTTCCACTTACAGAGAGAGAAATGATTCACCAGGGATGAACAGCAAGGAGAACGCAGGTGAAGTCTCCCCAGGGCCCCAAGGCCCCTGCTCCTGTTTTGAGCCTCTGGAAGGTCCAGCTCCTGGGCATCCTGATCATGCTGAGTGCTGTGCTGTGGTCCTCAGCTCCCTTTGGAGGGACTCAGTGTCCCCTGGTGGCACTGGGCATCGCCTGCTGGTCCTGATCACCAAGAAGTGAGGTTTGTGTCTGGGCTCAGACTGACTGCTTCTCCCTGGGGATTCCAAATTCCTACCAGATTTTCACCACGTTCCCTGAGACTCCTAAGGATCTGGTCCTCAGGATCTCAGCAGAATCAATTTTATCTCAAGTGTTAAATTGTGTTTTGCACAGTTGAGAATGTGTTCTCCTATTTAAACACATGTGACTAAGGAGACACATCAGAGGTAAGGACAGATATATGAAACCAAAGTGTCTGGAAATAAGTAGTGTGTTGAAAGAAGACTCAGTTCCTAACAGGAAAACAACTTGGTTTCCCCTGCATCCCTAGTACACCCTGTGAGTCTTGAACGGCCCTGCAAGGAGGTTTGTGCCTGGGCTCACAATGATGTCCCCTCACACCCGCAGGTTATCCACTCACTTCCGCTGGCACATTTAGTATCTCTTGCTCACCAAAAATTACCTTCTAAGACAGCAACAAGGAAAACCCAGCTGAGCACAAGATCACGAGTTTGCCTCCACGTGATATCTTTTTCATAGTAATGCACAATTGTGACCAATATGGTTACTGAGCCCCGCTACAGGGAAAACTAATTACTGGATGTGTCTCCGAAGATGCTGTGTTGACTGTCAGGGATGAAACAGAAGCTGTGCCTCCACTAAAATCGCACTGTCCTGCTATTCTGTTCCCATGCCCGGGGCTGATGACTCCAGCTCCTGAGTAATCACCACTGGTTCAGTAACCAGAACATGCAGAGTTGAGGGACAGGCCAAGTCTCAGCTTTTGTGGCTGCACCTAGAAAAAGACAGAGGGGCTGAGAACAGAGTGAGTTTGGAGCTCAGATGCAGCATCCACTCACTCTTCTGTTTGAATCCTCGGACACTCATATCTGGGAGCCGCCACCAGTAAAAAGATGAGGGAGAATTGTTTCAATTTACTTCAGATTAGCAATACAAATCCCACGGCATATCTTGTATGCAAAGGCATGAGGGAGACACAGGAGGTCTCTGTTTTCAAGACAGCCCCTGGGTGAAGGATTCTGACTGAGCCTTCCCAGAGCCATGTGCTGTCCCTGCTCCACTGCCTAGGTCCTCTCCCTCCAGGACAGGACTTGTGAGGCAGAAGCTGGTTAGAGCAGGATGAGTTCTCAGATGAAAGAGGGCTTTGCATCTATGGAAACGAGCACACAGGGCCCCGGGTTAAGAGCACTGTAGGGTTCAGAACTACAGCACATATGTACATGTGTGTGTGAGTACTCACAACGTACATCCATGGTACAGGACCACATGTGCACATCGACTTCTGGACACTGTACCAAGTCCATTTCCTTTCTCTGTATGCTCATTGTTCAAATGTGCATATTCCAAAGGTTTTTAAATGTGTGTTCCTTATTAGTATTCTACACATTGGCCATA